ACAGATCTTTATCATGTTTTGATGCAGGCCACACAACTTAAAAGATTGAATACTCGAATACCAGCTAAGCAGCAAATGGTCAAGAGGCAATAACCGATGACAAACTCAATAGCTAAACGCCCTAAGACAAAACTCACGGGCATAGTGACTCCGTCGAACCGTCAGCCTGTTTCAAAGCAGCGTGCTCAATCGATGGTTTTATGGCTAAAAGTCTTGCAAGACGCTTTAAGCAAGCAAAGTTTCAAGAAAAACAAAGATGGAGTAAAGCGAAAGCAGTTTATTTAAGTTCTAGCAAATTGATATACTTATACAAAAGTTGCCAAAATCTGACACAAGCTAAACATAGTTGACTACTCATTTAGCAGCTTGGATGACCTTGAGCTTTCCAGCAGCCATCTTGCCTTTAGTAGCCACTTCACACTCAACAGTTTTCTCACTCGACACTTCATCTTCAACAGCTCTGATCTTGGCAGTACCATCTTCGATTACTCCATCTACGGTAGCTAAGAAATCAAACTCAAGCAATTTCATCCTTCTTGGCAAGTAGCACAGACGTGGCAGCCCAAACCGTGGCCCATGCCACACCACTTCCTTAGCCCATGCAAAGCTAGCCCTTGGCTCTATCCAAGTCAAGCAGCCCAAGCAGTGGCCCCTATCACACCACCTCCTCGGCCCATGTCGAGCCAACTCCTAGTCTCTGCTAGCTGATGTGTCACATCACCCCAACGGCTGCCCCATGGTAGCACCACCCAAGAAGAAGACAAAGAAAATTAAGTTTTTCTTACATTGGTGCGATGCGGAGAAGACAAAGAAATCAACGGAAAATGGTTCTTTGCACGGGCAAGCGAAAAAGAATGTTAGGGAGGGGGAACAAATATCATCTAGCTTTCTCTCTTTTTTGTAGGGATAAATAATTGTCCTCCGAAGTTGATTTAATCTCCTACTTAAGGTAGACTTAAATATGCTTTGGAGGCGATTTATTTCCCTTTCCTAAAAGAATCTAATTCCAAGTCCAAGTGGGAATCTGCATCAAACTTGGAGATCTTTACACCTGCTGCCCTTTCCTGGGAGCAGCCCAGCAGATTTAGGGGCATTTGTGGAGCCAAAAATAATCAAGAAAATTGTGGAGGTGACATGTGGACTTTTGGGTTAAAAAGACAAAATTACCCTTGAGGCACACCGGAATTCCCACGAGCATGCAGTGGATAATAACGGCTCAATCAAGGAAAAGTCAAATGTGATCCAAATGGTATTTATTCAAATCTCTCTCATCATTCCTCATCAAATCCTTATTCAAAAGGTAACTCCTAAAACTTCCTATTTAATTTGGGATTAATTACCATGTTAATTGCAAGATATTATTTCGCATAATATCTTGCAATTATTCTCCAATTACATCATGTATGGCTGGCTACTATTCTCCAAATAGGGTCGGTCACTCCCCTATAAATAGCCCTATTATCCCACTAAAAATCTAAGTAATTTGCTACCCACAAACTCCTAAACACATTCTTTTTCAAAATTCTAACTTTGGCATCGGAGATTCTTTGGCCAAAACCCCCCTCCCCCCCCTCCCAATTCATCGTGGGCTCATGAGGCTTTTGGCCTTAATCTTAAATGTTATTATTTTTCAAGTGCATTTTCGTCAAAGGAGAAGATGGCGGAAATTTGTATCCACATACACCACTATTACAATAGTGTAATACGAATCAAATTCATCGTGCCTGATTTGAAAGAAAAGCTTAGACTATGTAAAGATTATTTGAGCAACAGTTGAATATATTAACAATCAAGGTCCCTTCTTTCTTCGATATGGAATTGACACTCTCAACACGCCCCCTCATGTATGAGGAATTTTCAAGCCTAACATGCTCTGATACCATGAAAAAAGTTAGGATTCCACCATAAACCAATTGGTTATATAGGAGTAGTCCAACTACTTATAATCACATGCAATGTCCTTTCTTTCTTCAATGTGAGATTGATACTCTCAACAAATATGAAATGGTGTAAAAATTGGGTTCAATTTCTCTTATTTTTCCATGAAATTGTTATTATATCAAAAGATGTATTTAATTTTGTTTGAAATGATGAAGAAATTTTGGATTTGAAAGACATGAAAAATTCTAACTGAAAAGTTACGATTTTGTTAACGCGTGATATGGTTGACCCATTAACATACCGGGTGTTCTCATATTGAGCCGTTTTCACTCGTTAACTTAACGGGTCAAATTTAGGTGACCCGTTAAAAAAAGGTTTGTAACCAACCCAACCCGAACCTTCAAAACCAACCCATTTGCCAAGTCTAGGTTTAGGGTGGGATAGTAGAGAAAGAACAAAGAGAGGTGGTGGTGGTGGTAATTGAGATGGTGATGACAATAGTTGGGTTCATGGTGGCATATAACATGGTCCCTTAATTTTAGTTCACAAAAAAAAATGCAGATAAAAAAACTCATAAACTTATTAGTTTCCCCCAATATCTTGATTGGAGTTTAATACTGCTTTTTCCCCCACCACATTACTAACTATCATGGATATCACAGACTCTTGACAAGTTAACCACTTATTTCATGCGGTTTGGTCATTCACAAGGATCATGCTAATGAAAGCTAATTGGTGGGCATGGTGCTTGTTGACCAATGAACATTCAGGTTAGTTGAGGACTAGAGGTTTATTTCCACGGATACATACACTTATCAACTTCAAATACCTCCACTTTTGAATTTTTATACGACCACTTTGAATCTTAATACGACCCCTATTATAGCTAAGGCAAACAAAATAACAATTTTTTAATTGAGAAGAACTAAAAATTCGTCAACCCCACTTGGTGGTATAAGGCTTGCTAGTTGTTGAAAACATACCAAAACTATAACATTTCAAAGTAGGGAGAATATTTCCGGTGATCAATATTGTGGAAGAATTCACTCTATAAGAAATGAATGGTTGAATGGTAACTTAGTTGTATGCAATGAGAAATGTATTTGATTCTATTGATAATGATGTAATACTCCATTTCCAAAATATGATAACACCACGTAGACAATTATAAATGAAAGTATGATTAATTTTCAGAAGTTTCTTATTTATGACCCCAGTATTGTAAATTTCTGACTCAGCAAGTAAGTGATCATGTTTAGTGTAATCAATTATACTAATCTCGTCTTAACACGTATGGCAAGAGGCTCGCCATTCTGTATTCGAGACACTATAGTATATATTGATCTATCCGGATTATATCCACTCATATAATTCTACGATCTAAAGACGGTTTAGGATAACACATAGTAAAGAGTCTCCATATCCACTTAGAAAAAAATAGACATGCGGGGTTGTTAATGCTTAGTTCAATGCAGTTTTTTGTTGACTACCATATTTTTCTAGTTTTAAAATGCAATGATTGACAGGTTTTCTTGGACCCGAAGGAATAAAACAACACCGAATACAAGCTCGAGAGTTTTTCTGCAGTTTACCGGAAGCTTTCAGGGAAAGATGTGGTGTTTGAGTACCCAATAACTGAGGCATAGAACTATCATGTTTGAGTACCCAATAACTGAGGCATAGAACTATTGTGTGATGGCAAATTTTAGAACTCCCTTTTCTACAGAGCTGCACTTCAGCAGGCAATCGATTGAAAAAAAAAATTATCCCCATTACTAGTGATATGGCTTAATGTAGGATTATGCTTAATCTCTTGCGTCTTTTGAGCTTTATAACTAACTGGATTTGAATATTATTAATAAAAGATTGGATGTGTGATGCTACAAGGATTTTATGCAATTGGTTTCGCTGGGTTTAGATATTCAACAAGGGGACTAGGTTTGCAGATGGAAAAAATTCGACATGGCGTGAAACCTTCTCTCTTTCTTTTTTTTTTATAAGTTTTATCAATTAATATTTTGTTTCCGAGTAACAAGAATTATTTAAGTTGATAGCTTCATTTACCGTAAGATTAATTTGATGGCCCATATAAAAAAGGACCTCACAGGTTCTAAAAATGAGGACCTTAGGCCATCTCCAACCGATGGCTGGCCAGATGGCTCGTTTTAGCCCTCTGGCCCTCCAAGATTCTCCAAGATATTAATATTTTAATGAACAGTACAGGGCCATATTTGCCTCCGTCTCCAACCGAGGGCTAGAGGGCCAGAGGGCTCGTTTTAACCCTGTCACAGAAAACCGTCTCCAACCGAGGGCCAAAGGGCCATAGGACCAAACATAATTTATTATTTAAAAACTACAACTTAATTTTATTTAAAAATCATGTTGGTTAGTGTTGTATAATTTTTATGTTGGTTAATGTTATTTAATGTTGTTTCATATTGTTTAATGTTGTTTCATGTTACTTAATTTAATTTAATGTTGTATAATGGTTTAGGAAGTTATAGGAAAAAAATAGAATTTAAAAAAATATGAAACAAATTTTGTGAAATAGAAGTTATAGGAAAAAAATGGAATTTAAAAAAAAATATGAAACAAATTTTGTAAAATAGAAGTTATATGAAAAAAATATGAACCAAATTTTGTAAAATATAAGTTATAGGAAAAAAATAGAATTAAAAAAATTGAAACAAATTTTGTAAAATAGAAGTTATAGGAAGTTATAGAAAAAAAAAGAAAAAAAAAGGTTTAAATTCATAAAAAAAAAAAGGTTTACAACGGCTAGTGGCGCTAGCCGTTGGAAGTTTAAATTCAAATTGTTATTTCTGTCGGTTATAACCGACAGAAATAATATATATTATATTATTTCTGTCGGTTATAACCGACAGAAATGAGAAACATTAAAAAAAAATAGCCAGCCCTACAGCCCTGCAGCCCTCTCCGATCCCGTGGGGCCCTCCCAGATTCCCGAGCCCTCTGGCCTAGCCTTCGGTTGGAGACGGTTTTAGGGCTATTTTCGGCCCTCTGGCCCTCTGGACCCTTCGGTTGGAGATGGCCTTAGAACCTTAGGAAAGCAGCTCTTAGAGTTCCTATGATGGTTTACAAATGAGCCTATAACCCCATGTAGCAATGGTATGTACTAGTTGCGTTACTAAGACAACGTACAAAGTGCGTAACCTATAACTTAATTATACAAAAAGACCCATAAACAAAGTTTTGTTCCATGAAAACAAACACAAATCGTGTAACCTATCAAACGTGTATGAAACTTTCCACATAAACAACAAAGCATGGAATCTAAAATGCAACTTGAAACCCCATGTATGTAAAAAGAGCTCAGTTCTAAGCATCAGTTATTGGGTACTCAAAGACAACATCCTTTCCTGAAAGCGTCCGATAAACTGCAGAAAAGCTCTCCAACTTGTATTCGGTGTTGTTCCGTTCCTTAGGGTCCAAAAACACCTGTCCAACATTACAATCAGATATAGATAAATATGGTAACAATCCAGCAGAAAACTGTACAAAGAAACCAGTGACAACCCATATATGCACTTCTATTTGAAATCTATCACTTTATCCATGCCACCAAAGGTACTATCTTATCAGTTTGTGTACACGAGTGTTTTCAAATCTTCATAAGGGTGACATCTTTTCGATGATCAACCACAAACCTTTTCCCTTTCCAAGTGTGTAACAGTGAAAATATTTTTTTTTTCCTTTGAAAATCATGGCAATACCTTCATTATCTTGGATCCATCATGGCGATATCTGATGCGCTTTCCAACAATCTCAGCAGGCGAAACAACATCCTCCAACACTGCCTCGTGCACACCAGTTAGGGTACGAGTGCGGGGCCGTTGAATGGCAGAACCCTTCTTAGGAGGCCTCACTATCCTACGAGTGGCAATCAGGATCACATCCTACCACATGAAAAATTAGAAGGCACCATAAAATTACTGAAGAAGGCCGAATTGCTGCAATAAAATACAAATTAGGGTACAAGAGAGTTAAACCAGAATCACTTATTTTAGACAGATAAATAAATATGAGAAGACAAAAACGTGAAATAAGGGACTACAAGAGTGGCAGAACTGTCCTAAACTATCAAGCACAAAATGTATTGCCCAGAAGCAAGTACAACGTAAAATCACCAAAGTAAAACTAATCTCAGTTTATTCAACATTTATAAATAGCATAGATCACCAATTACCCTTCCACTGAACTTCTTCTCTAGCTCCCTCACAAGACGAACATGGATCTTGCGGTAAGCCTTCCTCAATCTATAGGGCACATGGATAACAACAGATTTCTTCCCAGTCCCAGCCACATCTACTTGACTGCATTGAACGGAGGACCATAAGTCATACAATGGGAAAATTTTAAAACACACAAGCATTCAATAAACCATTCTTACATTGCTGAATTTATATATAGATCCTTAAGGTCACTTTTCAGTTCCTGGTTTGTGTTTTCCAAATCAAATATCGCCTGCAGATACAATGACATTTTTAGGTAAGAGCTCCTGATCATAACTTACAGTTATGAACAACAATAGCAGGACCGACAAGCACAATAAACAACAGCAATAACTTACCTGTGCAACAGACTCTTCAAATTCAGTGGGTTCAGCATCCTTATCCTTGTGAATCTTCTTTCTTGAGGTAAACATGTTGACAAATCTGGAAAATAAAATAAGCATTGTATGAATATCTAAAAATAAATCATAAAACTCGAAACGCTGTTGTATTAATAATCCATGCATCGCAAATTCCGGTTAGCTCATCTTATCAGTCCAAGTAACCGCAAAAGGGCATATATTTCTGCAACTCCACTTATTTTACCACATTTCCCAGAAATTACTCAAAATAATCAGTACAAGTTACTGAACCAACACCAAAAAACGCAATCTAAAATTTCTCCTATATCCAATTTCACAAACACCCAACCCCTTTTACACACACACACACGCACACACGCACACATATTTATTTTGTAATCCTGGGATTTTTTCGCGTCACAGGATACTGAAAAGCTTATTGCTTTTTTTTTTTCTTGGCGCAGAGGAAAATCAATTTTCCTACACTTTCTCGGGAAACAACAGAGTGGCGAATTAGATGAGATAAATCGAAATGAAGAACAAGAAATGGGCATTGGAGTTTACCTGAGGAGAGGAGGAGAGAAAGATCTGCTCAGAGAGCGGCTGAAGAACCTAGCTTTGGTTTCGGCAGACAGGAGAAACCCTAGCGGATTGGGTAAAATAGCGGGTTGAGATTGGCTTAAGAGAATCGGGAGAATTGGATCCTGCCCGTTCAATTAGAGAGACTTTTTAGTGTGCACTGCCAGTACACCAAATAGAATAATGCAATTGATTGGAAATTTAAAAATAAAAAATTTCCAACTAATTGTATTTATATATACTTAGTGTAACGAACTGTTTTCTGACACACTTAAAATTTGTCATTCAATTACCACTTTTTGTTCTTTGATTTGTTTTTGACAAAAAATTCTTATTGCTTCAAAAATAATTAGTTGTAGAATAAAACGGTCTAGCGTTTAATAAACTGTATTTTTTAAAATGTTGTGAGTATGAAAAACAGTGTATAAACGTTTGATAAATTTTAATGTTAGTGTTGTGGTTAGGGACAACAACTACAATGATGATAGTGGTAGTGGTGGCAGAGGCAATGGTAGGGATATAGGGTGCGTTTGGTACGCAGACGGGACGGAACGGGACGGGACGGAACGGGACGGGACGGGACGGAACGAAGGTGTAATTTTTGAAAAAGACATGGGGTATATTTGTCTTAAAATGGTAAAACATTGTGTTCCACAGACGTGGAACAAACCCGTTCCAGGGGGGCAGGTGGGACGCAAAAACACCCAAAATCTGTCCCGTGGAACAGCCCGTTCCACCCATTTTTGGCGCACCAAACGCGGGACGGAACGCCTCGTCCCGTTCCGTCCCGTCCCGTCCCACGTACCAAACGCACCCATAGTGATTGTGCCAATAGTAGGATGTGGTTGGTGACGCATTCAAAAAATAAAATAAAATAAAAATAAAAAATATTTGGGAGGTCATGTTGGGAGGTCACGTATAAGAATCCCAACATTTATTCGACAAATAAATAGCCTTAAAATTTATTTGGGTTTATATGAATCCGGATCCTCTTTGTGAAGATCAGAGGGATCCGTGAATCGTATCTATTAATCGTACATCGTGCGGTCAAAAATCATTTTAAACAGATTTATTCACTTACATCTCATGTCAAGACAGGTTTGGATGCATGCTGTATTAGTGCCTAGAATTAATCTGTTTGCTAACATTCCTGTAATAATGTCTTAAATTGACATGAAACTTTAGATATGTTAATCCCCACCGATGCTTACCAGCATGCAAAAGGAGCTTAAATTTTCACCGTATGCGATCAACTTTAACAAGCCAGATTTCTCTTTAAATGATCTTAATGGATTGCAGCTTCAAAGTGCATAGCATTCAATGTTACGGATCTTTTAGCCGTTATATTTAATTTTCACAGTTATTAGATCTTTTATTTTTAGTTTTCAACAATTTATTTTTTATGTCACTCAGTGTTATGTGTCATTGAAGAAAAATTGGGAAATGAGCTATATTTGGTTGCTAGTGAAAGGTTCATTTCATGATTTCATCAATGGTTATTTGCCTTGAACTGCAAATTCATCTTTAACATTCATTGCTTACTCGAAAAGCACCAATAATGTTTCTAATAGCTAATGAATGTTTTGAAAGTTAGATGTAAAAACTGTCTACACTATGAGACAATTATGACAATTTGATATCGAACTCATCATTTACGAGAGTCGAATATAATATTTCTTACAAGTAAAGATTATGGAGCCAAAAATAATCAAGAGGCAACACGTGGATTTTTGGGTGAAAATGACAAAATTACCCTCGAGGCACACCGGAATTCCTACATGCGAGTAGTGGACAACCATCCCTCAATCAAGTCAAAAATGCCCAAATAGGTATTTATTTATAACCTATTTCATCCATCCCTCATCGTATCTTCTCCACAAAGTAACCCCCAAAACATTCCTTTTAAATTAGCTAATTAATGGTTTTATTACCTAATTAATCTATTAATGGCTAATTAAACTACCAATTACACCCAAAAAACACACAAGAGGCCGTTCACCTTCTTTCCCAAGAGGACCGGCCATGCCTTATATATTCTACCTCATTTTCTCTAAAAACCTAAGTCTTCACTCTGGCTAAAGACTAAAAATTCTCCAAACACTTTTCCCTCAAAATTCTAACTTTGGCATTGGATGTTCTTATGCCAAAGTCTCCCCCCCCCCCAATTCATCGTGGGTGCGTGAGGCTCTTGGCCTTGACCTAAGGTGTTATTTGTCTTGTAGGTGCAATTTTGTCCAAGAATAAGGAGGAAGAAATTTGCATCCACAAATTGGTGCTTTCGTTGAGAGTTGAGTCTCACACTCGTAGAAGACTCTCGCATCCAAAGGTTTTCTATTTTCTTGTCCATTTGTAGATTTTTCGTACGTTTTTATTATTAGAATTTTTTTTTGTTAAAATTCTTTGATAAAACGTAAAAGAGAAGTACAATGGCTAGAAATTTAGAAAATTCAACAAGTGAAAATTCCAATATTCAAGAGATAGGACCGCAGCGATCCACGAGGCTAAATGTGATAATAAGTGGAGCGGCACCACCACCACGAGTTTCCACTACGGGAACCGCCGCGATGGCCACCACGGTAGCCATCCGCGGCGAGGTCCATGGTGTCACCACCACAACCCAAGTCGTGCCGTTTAAGCAAGCCCAAGTCGTGCCATCCAAGGCTCATGGCACCAAGGCCACGGCCCAAGCCATGTCACTCCACGCCCAACGTGAGCCCAACATGTTGCCAAGCCGAGCCCAAGCCTTACACTCGCATGCATCACACGCCGAGCAGCCCGCGGCCCAGCCTGCTCTCATGGTTTCCCAAGCAGCCCAAGTCGGCCCGAGAATATCCCAACCATTGAGCCAGGGGCATTTTCACCACATTTCTCCACAGATTTGACATTTATCAACTCAAATCTCGCTCCTGAAGTCTACCACTTTTCCACTGCTCAATGAGGCATATTCCTTCCAAGCTCTTCCAATCCGAATGGCGAACAACACTTGTCCCAACAAGTCATAGAATTGACAAACACCCTAACATAACATACGACCTTGGTGAATCAACTCTTGCAATGCACCGAGATCCAACGTGCCCCAAATGAGGTGTCCTGAAGTAGGACAGGGGCAAATGAGGAACCTCTCAAGCAGCGTCTTGGCAAACAGCCACTCGACCAACCACGAACCGAGCGTTCAGGCAGAGTACATTCCCGATTGGGCCTTCGAGATAGCGTATACTCTCGTCTTAGCGCGCGGATGAGCATGCACTCTCGATTAGGTCCACGGACGAGTATACACTCACGGTTGAGGCCATGCTCTGATAGTCAACATGAGCAGCCTTCTAGGCAAAACATTCATTCAGGGCTAGGCCCACAAGGAGCATTTTCCACATCACATCAGAGCAAGCAGCACGACGAACGGAGAGAAGCAGTCACTCAATCCAGCCCAAGTTCAACCAGCAGCCTACGAAGAAATCCCTCACCTGCTACGAATCTACCTCATTCACAGCCGTCGCGACATAGACGAGCCAAGCATGGAGAAGAGCAGCCTAGACCAACAGGTTAAGACCGGGGGAGGGCTCTGCTACCTTAACAAAAGCAAATTCAGGAAGAGGTAGAGAGGCTGCTCAACGAACAGTTACGTGATTTCCAATGCAACAAAGTAGCCGATGAAGCACTACGGCGAGATATGACCAACATGAGCAGGTCACCCTTCATGAACGAGATCGAGCAGGCAAAGCCTCCACGCAAGTTTAGCATGCCACACTTCAGATCGTTTAAAGGAGATTGAGATCCAGAGAGGCACTTGAAGCATTACCAAAACGCGATGGTCCTTTACCGAAACAATGATGCCCTTATGTGCAAAATATTCACCACCACTCTGCAAGGCGAGGCACAAGATTGGTTTCACACCTTGCTACCATAATCTATTTAAAATTTTGATGATTTTTCCTTGGTTTTCACTAAAGAATACTCATCTTATGGCTCGATCAAGAAAAAGTTCGACCACTTGTTCAACATGAAGAAAAACCCAAAGAAGTCGCTCTACGACTATGTAAGGAGGTTCAAAGCAAAGAATGCAAATATCGTCGAACGTGACGACTCAATAGCAAGTGCAACTTTCCAAAAAGGACTCCTAGTAGACCACCCACTATTTGAAGAAATGATTATGAAAGAAGACTTAACTCTAGTAGATTCCTTTGCCCTGACAGAGAAGCATGCACTTTGGGACGTGGCTCGATAAGCAGAAAAGGTGCTCGAATAGCCTTAAAAAAAGTCGGCAATGGCTCAGATGAAGGATGACGGGAAGCAGTCCAGCAATGGCAAGCAGGAGGCTAAGCGTAAAGACCGACCCACTACCAAAGAAGGCTCGATGACCAAGAACTATTCTAAGTTCTCAATTCTGATCCATCAAATCCTTCGTGATAATAAGAACGAGCCATGGTTCAAGCTGACGAAACAATCAAAAGAAGATATTTCCAAGTTGGACCACACTAAGTATTGCGCATTCCTTCGAGGTCCTGGTCACACAATTGACGACTGTTACACTTGGAAGAACTACCTAGAAAAGCTGGTGAAACAAGGCAAGGTCGATAGATACTTGGACAAGCCAGCTGCGCAGCCAAGAAGGAACGCAAACGACGATGAAGAGCCACAAACTAAGACGATTCAAATCAATGGTATCTTTGTTAAGTTCGAGCACTTGGGGGCCACTAGCAACTCTAAGAAGAGGAAGATCCAGCAGTTGTCACCCAACCTGGACCCATTATTAGCTTCACCGAGCAGGATGCAGAAAGCGTCGATTTCCCACACGACGATGCACTAGTAGTATCTGTCTAACTAGCCCATGTTATAGTCGACAGAATGATGGTTGACAATAGAAGTGCAGTCAAGCTACTTTAACTCTCTGTCATTCAGAAGATGGGCCGAGAAAGCACAATCATACGCCGAGCAGAGGTACTCACCAGATTCAACGGACACACCTCGACTATCATCGGCCACATCATACTTGACGTGAAAACACCATCAATTGTCTCAAAGCAGACGTTCACGATCGTAAGCCACTCATCACTTCCGTCAAGTATCAAAAAATCATATTCCGCATCTCGGGAGGAGGAGGATGAGAGGTCAAGTCTGAACAGGCCTCATCCCGACGATGTATTATG